CAGGTCCCAGTGCGGCAGGGGAGTGCTCTTATTTTCATCATCCTTCACACTGTCACACGATGCCTCTTATCAATTCAGTCGATGATGCAGCTACCGCAAAGCATTATTACGAGATGAGACTTCATCCTTTCCAGCCCGCCCCGTCCCCTAGGGAAACCCCGCTTTCCCCGCGTACTTCTGACGACAATGCAACAGAAGCCAGGACTTATCGTAAACTCAGCAGGGGTGATCTCGGATATGGTGGTCTTCCATTCAGCTCTTCTGGCATATCTGAAGCCGGGGAAAGCTTACTCGCGAAGAGGTTGAGAGGGCTAGACGTACAAAAACATGAGTCCTCGTCCCCGAATTGAGTTGTCGATGCAACACGTGCGACTATGTCATTCTCGGCGCCTGTTCCGCCTTCTGAAGCAGTATTCCATCGGTATACCTTGTTCTCCCCATCTTCCACATCATTCGTCATCCTTCCTTGTTATCCACCTTCACCTTACCATGATTAGCTTGGCCAAATCTGCACATAGCAACAGCCTCGACTAACGACACAGTACTATATCACAAGATGCGGGCATCTTTCAAATCTTCAAATGTCTTTGCTTACTCAGACTAAGTGCAAATAGACCAGGCGCTCAGGAACCACGCAATATACCCATCTTTGTCATTCAGCTCACAGTCAATCTTACATTCAGCCTTCATCGTTCATATTCAGCATGGGACTCACCTTCATCTTCATGTTACGTACTGATGCGTGGCTTGTCTCATCCGTTGGTGTTGAGTCTATAAGCTCTAATCCGCTAATATTCCGTTATCTCGGAAATTCACGTATATCTTGAGGTCTACTGTCGCTTTTGGCGTCCGGCAATGGCTACTTGTGCTGTTCACATGATTTTTTTTCTACAGAGTCGACTCAATCAACATCTTCCTTCAATGCAGATAGTATGATGAGTCCCGGTGGTACTTGGGGGTATTTCTAGCAAAGACTGTTACAAGCCTCCTCAATTATGCTATTTTATCTACAATCGTATCTAAATACAGAATGAATATAGTATAAGATTGAACCTGTGCTCTCGAACGGTCCAAATGTTCTAGTCTGTAGCCAGGGTAGATATCCGGGATTATATCCAAAGGAACAATCGCCTAGCCTGCGTGCTCGACAATTTCGTTCACGAGAACCCCGTCTTTGACATACGACTTGATCTGTTCTGGAACTGGACACTCCTTGGTATCCTCATCGGTTCCCTCCTTAGGGGGGAGCATGATGTTGACAGCCGTGCACTTACTAGAGAAGACCTCGGTGGCCAAGCTCTGCTGTCCAAGGTAGATGGTCGCACCGTCAACTTGGTCAAGCAGAAGAGTGGGCACGACCCCGTCAATCTGCAGAGCAAATTTGGGAGACTTGATGACATCGAGGCTGCTGACAAGCGAATCCACAATGATGGAAAGACCGTTGCAGTTGTCGATGGAGATTGCGTTGGCCTTGTTGTTCACCTTCACGATAGTCTTGTTGCAACGGCTGATTAGGATAGATTGATTCTGCTGAGCGGAAATCTCGATGATGCCACCGGGGTTATCGAAATTCTCAAGGAGCCATTTGTTGCCTTCGAGCTCTTTACGCGGCGGCTTACGAGCACGCATGCTCTCCGGCTTGGGCTTCTTGCTCGGGGCAGGTGACTTGGAGCGGGAAATGCTACCCTGAGAGCTTGGGCGTTCAGGCACCGTTGCGCCTGCACGCAGGCTGGGATTCTTGTGCGTCATCTCGGATTTATCAACCTTGCGGAGTCCGGAAGTGACGGCGTCGCCTTGGTTCAGCTGAGCGAAGACTGCAGACATGTCTGGTCCTGCAGCAACGGGCGCAGGAGGGGCGCCGGGTGGAGGAGGGGGGGGAGGTGGAACTCCTCCAGGGACGTTCAGAGTTGGCACGGGAGGAGGAGGAGGTGGTGGTGGTGGTGCTGCCTGGCCGGAAGCGCCGCTTTTGATTTGCCTGAGCGCTTCTTGCGCATCAATACCAGATTCCTGGTTCCAGGTGAGACCTTTGGGGTAATGTTTCTTCAGGAACGCAGCTAGCGACTTGAAAATCTGGTAGTAGGCTTGGATGTACTGAATGTGAGTGTGGTCCCTGTTGCAAAATCAGTAATCCATGGTCGACAAGCCCAGAGTGGAATTCATACTTCTCCTTGTACTCCTTCAACACCTTGTTTCCATAATACTGGATGCCTCCGACAATCTCGCTGACGAAATCAGCAGGCTTTGGCTCAAAGAACCAGCCCAGAGCAACAATGCCTTCGGCGACAGCGCTAAGGTGATTAAAGAGAGGGGAGGCTCTGTTTGACTCGCGGATGTTATTGATGGTATCAGAAGCATTGTGGAGCTCAGTCATAAGCTCTGGTGGCTGAGGTTCGGGCTTTCTCGCCTTTGTCGAGACGTAAAGGTAGGTGCGCTCGGCTTCGAAAGCTTGAAGAACAGCCTTGGACTGTCGAAGAAGTCAGAGAGACGGACACAAGAACGAAGCCTTAAGTTCGAGTTGCTCACCTGCTCTGCCACAAGACCACCGATCTTCTCGCCGAGATCCACGAAGCTTCGAACATCCCCATTGATCAATGCATCGAAGTCTTCTATTTGGGGTGGAAGCGAAGGGGCCGCAGGAGGCGCTGGGGGAGTAACTGTATTCACTGGAACAGGCGCTGCAGGTTCAGGAGTAGCTGCACTTCCGACGTTTTTCGGCGAGTGAGGGTCATCCAGCGACATAGCCATGTCCTCCAGACGGGAGGTCGCGGCTTCCAGCCTGTCGAGAAGCATACATTGTCAGTGACACGGAATATGCAAGCCAAGGCTAGAAGATGAATAATGAGAGGTTTAGCTGAAGCTTATTGCTCAAGCTTCGGACACTTTCCTCAGGTACGTACCGCTTGATAAGAGTAGTCAGATTATGCATGTGGTTGCTGGTTGCCATCTTGGAAGACCAAACCCCCCTGGCGACGCAAGGACAATGAAACGGATGATGAACAAGTTTGGACGTTAAGACTCAATTCTCGGGTACCCTTGCTCTGGCTGAAATGAAGGAATACGACGATGATAGGACGAAAGGCGAGTAACTTCAACCTCAGAGCAACCACCTGGGAATGCCTGATTCCTGCAACGGTGTCGGGTTCCAGAGTCCAGACGATGATGAGATGCTCCTGACCCGTTTCTTCCTGAGGCCGCAAGCTCCACTGTGTGGGGCTTACAGTACAGTACACGTAAAGTTAAGATGCGTACAGTTAAACATGACATTGTGTGTGTAAATTTGTATCATATTTACCGACCATCATAAAGTATGTTATCCTTATCATTGAGCTTTCCTCTGCTTCTCCGCTTGAGGATGAGCGACATACCCAGTAACAGTTCGACTTTTTGTCTCGATACCCATAGGTGTTGAGCCCAGTATTTAGCCACAATTCAAAGTATGAGCACGGATAGTCAGGTCGAGGGCGATGTCGAGTTCTGCACTCTGGGCATGTTCATCCTCGGTATGCTATCATTGCACGGTCATTGCCAGATAAATGGCTGCACCACATCAGATACTTACTCACATAGATGATATCGACTTTGGAGAATCTAGACCCAATGTGAGAAATATCATTGGCGGTGCGGCCTCTTATGCTGTAGTCGGTGCCCGCCTTGTCGCTGGGAAGGAATATTCGAGCTCCGTAAGCTGGATTGTGGATGTTGGCTCAGATTTTCCTACCGAAACTCTAGGCGTCATCAAGTCATGGAATACCAATTGTGTTATCAGAGAGGATCCAGGGAGGCTGACCACTAGAGCATGGAATGGATATGGGCCAAATGAAAAGCGAGGTTAGTATATTCTCTCGATCTGCAACCGTCGTGTTGTTACGAAACAATAGATGATAATGATTCGGAATAGATTTCAAGTATTTGACGCCTAAATTGCGTCTTGAGCCTTCAATGCTCTCCAACTCGCAGGTTTTCTCGAAGACATTCCACATGGTCTGCTCTTCTTCTCGTTGCATAACCATTGTTGAAGATATTCTACGCAGACGCGACGATTTGCGGAAAGAGGGCATGGCCCCTTCCGCCATGGGTGCCACAAAGAGACCGATCTTCGTCTGGGAGCCTGTACCTGATCTATGCACACCGGAAGAACAGGATAAATTCTTGGCAGCAGCCCGAGTAGTTGATGTGGTCAGCCCCAACGAGTTGGAGCTGGGCATGATGTTCAGCCAGCCCGGGTGGACGGAGGATAGCGAGTTCGGTCGCGATGTCGTTACTAGGATCCTCACGTCGGGCATCGGGCCCGAAGGCGAAGGGCATTTGGTAATTAGAGCAGGAAAAGACGGTAGCTACACATTTTCAAGGAAACAGAGGATATGGCTCCCCGCCTACCATCAGCCTGGCACTTCTGGGGCTACAGCTGTTGTGGATCCTACGGGAGCTGGCAATTCATTTCTGGGGGCTTTGGCACAAGGCATCATCAGTTCAGAAAGAGATCCAGCCCTGGTCATTACTTCCGTGCTTGCGGAGTGTGGAAGTTGGCAGACTATCACGAAGGCATCGGCAAACCACAAAAATATGCTGGTGGCCTTGATATGCGCCACTGTCGCTGCAGGCTTCGTGGTTGAACAGATTGGCGTGCCTCGTATAACGATCTCAAGCGAGGGGAAGGAACTTTGGAATGGAACTGAATTCACGGAACGAGTCCGTCTGTACACGCAGAGATTGTATCGAACATTCGAAGAGTCTCCCCGAAAGCACTTTCGGAACAACTGACCGATTGGAGAACGCCCTTTTATTGTCGTACAGCCCGCAAATAGATGAAACAAATACCAATCATGCCATAGACCTCTTCCCTCGTTTCCACTGTTCTTCCCACCAACGCGCTTTTATTGCTTGGTAGCTTGCTGCTTCTCGTGTTCGATGATTTGCTTGCTCCAGCTGGGAGAAAAAAAAAGTACGTATCATCAGCATGCGATTCCCACACAATGGAGAAGGGGAGGGTCGTCCACTGACTAGCGACTAGGGAAGAATCTGCCGGGCTCTGGCATTCTGTCCCGATGTTCACGCTCGGCACTGATGCTCCAGGTAACCGCGATAACACCAAGCATAGCAGCGCCCATGATAGCAGTGTTGACTCGCCAGTTTGCAGGCTGAGCATACCAGCCTCCAGCTGGAGACCAGACTTCCTTGGGGTACCTGCGAGGTGGATGAGTTAGCCCACTGTAGCAACACCTTACCGCATCATGGTAGAATCAAGCACATACGGGATCTTTCCGCCTCCACCCATCTTTGCCTGTAGGGAGATAAATGAATGGACGAATAAACGATTTGACAATGGCTTGCGGGAAAAGCGCTATATTCAGGCTGGTTGTAGCCGACTTACCCATCAACGTCCCTCGTCCAGAGAAGCCGGGACGCTAGAACCAAGAATGACTTAGCGCCAGCACACGATCACCCGATCCCGTGACTTCCGCTGAGCTCAACTTTTCTCCAGCGATCAAAAGTTCGCATGCCCGATATACTTGAGCAGTCTGGATTTCCCCATACCCCTGCACCGCATTTTTCTGGACGGTCGCAGTTTTTTTCCTTGGTCTCTGTTGGCTCAAGCCCCTCGGGGATAACACGTTTGTCCAGATGAAAAGGCTGCAGCTCCTTCGATGGAGCAGTTCGGTCCTTTCACCACGGGCACGAACCAACGGCCGCTTGCACCAGCGTCTATGTGCTAGTTCGCGGTATCAATCGACATCTTCGCCTGTTCTGCAAGGCGAAGAACACCAGCTGATTAAAGAGCAACCTTTGCATTCACCAATTTCCCCCTCCAACTCACGACAATCGAGATACCTTCTCCCTTCTCCCCCGGTTGAAGCCGCACGCGAGTCCGCAAAACTTGCCGCGCTCCATGCACGACTTTACCTGCCCTCGCGATTACCCCTCGAAACACTAGCACGCGCGCTGGTGGACTCTTCAGCGGATCCGAATCCAGATTTCAACAATGAATCGTTGGCTACATTGGGCCATGACCTTCTCACGAACTACACCTCCGAACACCTCATATGCACATACCCCCGACTTCCTCTGACCGTAATCTTTGCGGCCATGTATGCGTATGCCGGACCGAAAACACTTGCCGCAATGGCTAGGGAATGGGGTGTCGAGATGGCTGTCGCCCCTGGAGGAGAGGTTGACCCTGGCCTTCTGCAGTTCAAGAGGGTCTCTCCCGGCACGGATCTTAATGCAGAACCGGTCACAGGCACAGCAAGGCCCAACGAACATCGAAAGTCATGGAGGAAGTCGATCACGTCCAGAGTTGTCTACGATAACGAGTTCGGTGATCCGGTCAAGGAAGTCGACGACTCAGTGGCCCAGACTGTCGTTGAATCCCACAACGCTCAAGGCGTCACGGTCGAACAAGCCAGTGCCACTTTCGTGCGCGCCGTCATGGGCGCCATCTATCTGCATGCTGGCCGCCCTGCTGCCAAGCGTTTCTTTGAGCAGCATATCCTGTCACGACACCTCAACATCTCCGAGTTGTTCAATTTCTCCCAGCCGGCTCGTGACCTCACCCGGCTGTGTGCGCGAGAGAACTTCGAACGCCCTGTCGCCAAGATCATCAGTGAAACTGGTCGTAAGAGCAGACACCCTGTCTTTGTTGTCGGTATCTACTCTGGTCAGGATAAGTTGGGCGAAGGCGCTGGCGCCAGTCTGATGGAGGCCCGATCGAGGGCTGCTGTGGCCGCGCTCAAGGGCTGGTATTTGTACAGCCCACTGAACGTTCGTGTGCCCAGCTCGATGGAAGAAGAGGGCGCTGCGCCCTGGAAGCCTGTTTATGTCGACTTGGGCGAGGTGATTGTGTAAGATAGATTGGAGAACGATCCGATGCCAATGTCGCGATGGTGATGTATTATTTTGACATAAATGACTGTTCAAGGGACAGTTCGACAAGCTTCTCCTTACTACTTGTTTGCAAGATCAGGTGTTGTACAGTACGGGCAATCTATTCTATTCGTTCCATGTCTTTCCTATTTTGTTCATTTCTCTTGTTGTCGTGCCGTTGTTTTGGTCATCTTCCGATTCTTTCTTCGCATCCAGGGTTGGACATCGGAACAGAATGTGGGTAGGAAATGGATACTTACATTATTAGGTATCAGTGTATAGAAGTATCCGATAGACTCAGTCTGAAATGTTACTGAACAGAAATCGAGACACCAGTACCTAGTACTGCTACTCCTTCCCTGGGGCAGGACCTTGAGAGTGTACCTATCTTTCTAGAGCACTTGATAATATCACAGATCACATTACTCGGCATTGATGATCTCGTCCTCCCAGTTATCACTATTGCTAGAGCGATCTAAATATTCGCCATATTCTTCCCAGAGCTCCGAAATACCCTTCCCGAACAGGCCCCTCCAGAAGCTCGGTTTGTCGTGATTTTCAGATTCTGAGTCCTCGCCTATGTATCCGACCCTCAGCAATCTGTCGTTTAGCATGCCAACAGCACCTTTCCCGACCCGCACATCCTCCAACCACGCCAGAAAGTACGCCGTGTGTTGATATCCCTGATCCCACTTCGACGGTCGTTCCTTGGCAGATGTTGGTCGCTTCCAGTGCGGAGGCTCGAGGCCTGCCTTGAGACGAACAAAATCGGCAATACCTTCGATCAGACCACCCGGAGGACGAGGCACGGAGGCGTTTTCATCTCCCTTCGGCGCTGTATGCTGGTAACAATGGACCAGCTCATGGGTCAACACGCCAGTGATTTCGGCTGTAGGGTCTGGATGTTTTTCCGCGCTGGAATTGATGTACGATAGGGACAAGTGGATTTCCTTATGGTCATCGTCGAGATCTATGCCGGTGGTGTATGCGACTCCATCGATATCGCGGAGGAGGACTGTCACGGAGCGGGTGGGAGGGATACATGGTGTAAAGGACGGTCTGGGATATTTCTTGGCTAGGGTGTTGCTCGACTCGTTTGGCGAAAGTGAGGAAGGTGTATAGAGCTGTCGTACAATGACTTTTAGCGCGGTTTCGAGAGTTGATGCCACATCGGGGACCAGGGAGATGAACGATGATGTAGCCGGATGGCGTAGATCGTTAAGGTGAAGACGGAATTTGGGTCTGGGAAGCTCGGGTTCTGGCTTTGGCGAGATTTCGCCTGGCGTCGTTTGGTTCTGGCTGGATTGGGGGTCGTTGGGTTGAGGAACGATTTTGGGGATTGCGGAGGGGAGTGGGCTTATCGAGGATGTCATCGCAGCTGTCTGTGAGGATCCGGACAGAGAGTAGTTGAGAAATGCGACGAAACTGTGATGTCCTAGCTTTTATCGTCCAAAAGTAATGACAGATTCCAGCTGGAAGTCGACGCATGTCTGGACCCAGAGATAAGATTCAATAAGGAGAGCCGAGACAGTGGCCTTTAGCCGCAGATGCCGTGAGCTCCTGTACACAGGATATACATTGCGCCCTTAGGCGGAAGTATGCATAATGTAGGTACAGCTTTAGTACCTACACCTTACTTATACTACGAGGTCTTAGTATAGTACGGAAGTTCATGCAAACAAGACTGCCAATCAGCTTCACAAAGGCAACCTTGTCAACCAACCAACCCTCGAGTCAACAATCTTCAGTCTCCGCATGTTCATGGTCCAAGTGTCTTTCATTGAAAAGATCCACCAGTTGGAGGGGCGATCGCGTGGAGTTGAGTCGACAACCTCGGAGATGACGTCGAGCTATCTACTAGGAGTATCACTTGTAGACTTTACGAATTATCAAGTCAATCAGGAATCCCATTGAGTAATATTAACAGAGATTTCAGAGGTGCAGGACCAGTATTATGGGTATTCGTGTAGTGAGCAGGTATGTAGAACTAATGCAGAATTTAAGCTGGTCCTTCGCTGCACCTAGTGTGGATATATATCTGCACTAGACGGGAGGGGCCACTTGTTTATAGAACATTTCTGTTTCTGCGACAGGAGAAAGTCCCTAGCTCACCCCTTTCTTCCTCCTTTCCATTTATCTTATCAGCTACGCATTATTATGTACCTCCCCTCGATCCACCTCATCGATTGACAATCGCATTCATACATTATCCCAGGTATGCTCAATCCTCGCCCGAACCAAAGCAGTTGGGCAGCATCGGCTCACCAAAAGCAGGAAGTTGTTTTCCCCCACCCGGTCTCCCTCGCCGTAACCATGGCTCCTGCGACCAGCGGGTAAACAAAGCGAAAAAAGACAACAAGACTACAAATTATTCCCTCGCGACAAGCGCGCTCTTCTACTCCTGTTACTCTCTGCTGCGACATCTGTCCTATAATTTCCCGGCAGTCTTTATATACACTGGGATCATTCTATATCGCATTAGTCTCTCTCGCTGTGGAATACTTTCGAAGCGCTTATCGCCGCGTCTAATCGCTTATCGGGCATCTCCCCTCTGTCCATCGCCGCTTTCCATATCCAACTTCATCTCTCCGACTCCTCCAACCTTCCTTCCTCGTCGCCAGCGGTACCTCAGTGCTTTCCGTCGGAACTCATTGACAGCGGCCTTGACCTCGCGACTGCCTCTCGTTTGACCAGGTATGTGTACTTTCCTCTGTCGTCATCATATTGACAGTATATTTCCCTCGCCCTGGATCGCCCACCCTCTTCTTCTCCTTCTATTCCCCATCAAAGTTACTACGTTCCACAGCGATTCGACTGCGAAATCACAGCGATTCAATTGCTTATTCCCTGCGTTTAACACTGCGTTTCAACCCTTCTCAAACATTACCTTTTTCATTCCAAAACGCTCTCTATTTCAGAAGCTCTGGAACTTGTCGGCTAACCATTCGACATGGATTCTTGCAGATTAGTGCCCGTTGGCTCCTTGAACCCATCTGCCTGGGACCGTATCACGCTTGCATTGGTCCTCACTCTATTCATTTCCTGTAGCCCTCATAAGTTCCTGTGCTACCTCCTTACCTTCTGTTACCTCTATGTTCCTCTTGTTGTGACCAAAGCCCAGGCCCAAAATATCATTTCCATGATGGAGCTCAAGGCGGCGGAGTTGGTGGCGGCTTTGAAGAATTCCAACATGTCAATCGATACCAAGGTTGCCCATCTCCAATGCGTCAAATCCGAGATCAAGCAGAAAAATGTCCCGGAGGGGGCAGTGCCATCGATTTTTGAGTCCATACGTCTAGCAATTGCGTCTCAACACTCGTCTCTGTCCGGAGCTGGCTTCTCCACACTCGGTCATTTTTTGAAGCGGCTTCTCATACAAGAGCTACATCATTTGGTCGCACTACAATGTCGTGC